TTGCAAACATGCCAAGTATCATTCCAAAAAGTTTTCAAAATTACTTTTGTTTTCAGGATGTTCCTCAATAATCTTATGATTCTGTTCGGTATTTCCTAGAAATGGTGAACATCAAAGTCTTGCAATTCTGTACAGAACACTTCTTAGGAATTCTTTCCAGATAACTCTTTAAATTCATTTTATCACATTCTTGATAATTCTCGGGAGAAATTGTTTGATTTCTCTCTATATTTATTTTTTTATTTTTTTAACAATAGTTCAAAAATTTTACCAAAAGCTCTTGTTTAACTATTTCAGCAAATTTTTAAGTGTCCATTGTTTTAAACATTCCAAAAGTTTACATTTTTCCAACCCTTAACAAAATCAAATATTGGGTAAAGCCATTTTGAGATTTTAGATTTTAAACTTTTTTTTTTAATTTTCTCTTGAAATTACTTCAAATATTTTGTTGCGTATTTTTCTCAGAAATCACTATTCATCTCTATAACTTTGTTTCAGACGTCATTTCGATCAGAAGCGCCTTTTTCGTGCAACAATTTTTTGAAACATTTCAAATACGTAATTTTAAAAATTAAAAAGATGCAAAACGGCCGAATTTTAGCAAAAATGTGAATTATTGCCCATAACAAACAATGCAAAGTTTCATGCAAATCTGAGCTAGTCGAGTTTTTCCGATTCGGAACTGCCAGTGTTGGAAACAAAATATCAGGAAATGAATGTAAAATATAGTGAACCTCGAACTTTTATCGATTGTGACTCGATAATATGAAGGAGCATGGGATTTAACCAATGAACTTCTGCTCATTATGCAAAAACGATCGCCATTAGGACACTGAGCCCACCCAAGCAACACGCAAGCTCTATAACAGTTTATATAATCTTTATATAACTTGAATTGGTTGTAATAAAGTTTACTCATAACATAATTACATAGAGTCGTGTTTTTTTTCCTCTGTTCGGGACCTAACACTACTGCGACCAGTAAATTGATCTATTGTAGTATATCCCGTGTCCTTAGTTTAGTGCATGTCGTATTACTCCATCACTATTGAAAAATGATGAAGTATTCGATTTTTTTACAGTTGCCACTCTTGCATTTATCGCAAGGATCCGACTCTAATTGAAAGGTCCCGCTATTTATACCCTTCGGAGTGTTGAAACCCCTTTGTCAGTCAAAATTGGATTCCTTAGCAACAAAATTAAGGTATGACACCGATAACGACCATGCATCAGAACCCTAGTCTTAACCACTTCAAACTAGGGAACAACGAATAGAAGATTAGGAATCATATAGATGAAGACAACTATCTCATTTTTTTCCTTTTTTCAAGATCATCCTCGGTAGACAAAGCCGAGTCTTGTCACTATCAACAAGGCATAAAAAAGTAACAAGGACTAAGATGTGTTCCTTGGATTACTGAAAAATCCTGTTCCCCTAGTTTGAAGTAGTCAGGACTAGGAATCGGTGGTAGATCTTACATCCCATAACGTACCACGAAAAGCTGATCTACCCACGTTCCGGGGCAGAGTCGTGTTACTCGGGCATCATGTCACATATAGGTACAATTATTGGCAAGTTTCCGATCGAGACTGTAAGGACTATCACGCAGAATGATCTGCATTAAAATACAATTAGGGACAATGCATAAATTATGTAGCATATTTCTGACCAATTTCAGTAGATTCCAGAACTTGCTTGGTCGATGCCGTGATCTAGTAATTGCAAGCACTAAACAGACTATTGATTGATTTTTAAGCAAGTTCAATATCACGAGACGGACTGTATATACGGAAACTCAATGTTTAATGCCTCGTGGTAAGCAATAATATTTGTCGCCTTATAATCCAGTTTGTCATATCACACTTTCTTTAGTGCCTCTTCCAGTTTTTAGTACCTGCCAAAAATTATACGCCAAGACTCTATAGCTCTGAGGCTCTCTCCTTCTTCAACTTCAACTTCAATTTTCTCTGGATAAAAAAAAAATAAACACACGGAACAAAGGGAAAATAGTGCTCAAGTGCTTTTGTTCTGCATATTCTATTTATTCGACCGATTCAATCTAGCTTCAATCGTTCCCTGGAATGCGATTTAAAGTGATGAAAGCCTAACTTGCTCCCGGTATGTTCTGCTCGATCCACCTATATAGTAGAAATAACCAGGTTAAGTAGTGTGCAGGGCATAGTGCAAATTGAAATTTGCCAACGAGCCCGAACGGCCGGCAACGACGACTCGACGGTTCAGCAACTCGACGAGAAACAAACGAATTCAGTTGCCTATTTTTTCTTTTGCTTGTAGGGGGAAGAAAAGGAACGTTTGAAGCAAATTTTAATTTTTTTTTTCATTTCTTCTCAACCACCTTAAGAGGAAAATGCAAAGCGAGTGGAAAAAATGGTCGAAAACGCTTAGCTCTTTGCTATTCACTCACTCACTGACTCACCCAGGCTGTGTTGTGCATTTCGAAGATCCTGCGAGACGGGCTTTTGATGATGCCTTTTCTCGGATGTGCATTTATTTCTCTTCCTTTCGGTAAATGTGAATCTATGTGCAGACATCCTTCTAGGAAAATTCCACTACGAGGGCCATACACAGTCACAGTTGTTCTCCGTCATAAACATCTTCCGAAATCGCTTTTTGATGTAGCTTTGAATGCTGCGTTATTTACTGTCTTGCTATGTCGAGGTACATTTTCGACTAAAGACATCTCTGGGGGGAAATTGTTTTTTTTTTGGAAATGGTTTCTGAAAAATCATAAGAAGGATGCTGATTCAAAGCAGTGGCTGATATCGCACGACAGAATCATTCAGGAAAGGATTCATACCGGTGATACGAATAAAAAATGGTGCTTTTAAAATCAAACGTTTCAAGTCATAAGACATTTTCTTGGGAAACCATCACATATTGCTTCTGAACAATCTTCACTTTTTCTTCACATTTAGATTAATAGCTCATGACATTGTCCAGTGGAGGTGTAAAGCCAAGGCTTGCTGGTGGACAGTTTATTTCGCGATAGGTGACTAGGGTTCTTGAATTATGCTATATCACGACAAAATGAAAGATTGACAGCAAGCAAGTCCTAAATACTAAAAGGTAAATTGTTCAATGTAAAATTAGAAATGCTTTGGGATTAGTTGCAAGATCTTTTACTTTTCAATGTTTTCTGGGTCTCGGACAGACATACATAAGAAATACACCAGGCAAGGGCAAGTTAAAGAAAAATTGTGAAATCTAATAATTTTAGAATTTAACTGCCAGGAAAATGATTGGTGCTTGAGTTATGAATTTTCAAAGTCGGGGGAAGTCCATAAACTTCATCTAAAGTTTTTCCGGAAAATTGACCACCCTAATTTTTTTTGAATTTTTGTTTCGTTCTTATGATCATAATCTATACATGTGAGTGAAATTTCATAGCATTTTGAGAACCTTTGGCCCAAACCTGTCCGATAATAATAAAACAAAACCCTGGGTTTAGTTGGCAAAAATATTTTATGATAATTGGAAATCTAGATGTATGCTTATTAGAGTGATGCAAAATTTGAAATTTTCGCTCCACAATACTTAAACGATTCCAAATCGAATCCTGACTAACCTCTCAAAATTTGAACCCATTTGGTGAAAAACTGAGATGGCACAAACCATTTGAAGTTTGTACGGGAATTACTATGGTAAAACCAAGATTTTTGTTCATGTCTATCTAATAATTCACCATATCGGTCTGCTTCAAAAGCTTTCAACTTCAGCTACAACTTTGCTGAATACCACTTTTTACGTTGATATTCTCTTTTCCATCTTCTCTTTTTTTTTCATTTTAATTTTAGAACTAGCAGCACTGATCAAAACTATTCTTTGCAATCTCTTTGATTTGATTGTGCAGTTGGTTGCATCGCTTCTGTGATTGAAGCGCTTATTTTGGAGACAACTTAATCATGTCACCAGAGACTGTATTTGTGGAACACATTTAAAGAAAATACGGCTTACTATTTTTGTAACGAATTGTGGGAGAACTGTCCACATGTGTAGCCATAATCGAATGAAAATTTTGCCAAACACCGATTCGCTAGAATCATTAAACCCATTGCCGATGTTGTGAAATGCTCGAGACAACAGCATATTCCAATTATCTAATTTAATTAGCAAAGTGCGAGCTTAAATTTCATCCCTTTTCAAACAGTTCTCGCCCAGTTGACGATGCAATCAATTTCATTAAAATAGATCGCTTCTCGCTAAATGGCCATTTAAGACCGGACTTTGTAGCATTCCGTCCGCACGGTTGCTCAACCAAATGGCCTATGCGCGCTCACTGTAATTTCTATTCATTACGGGGAGGCAAGGTGTCATTAATTATTCAGCGCCACTGGTCACAGCACGAACAACAACACACCACCAATTCCAACTGGGCACCGTCAATCGGTATGTAGAGTATCAATCACAAAATCGCGAATTGACGCCTCCATTTCACTGCATGAACGAGCCCCGTACATTTGCCTAGCGACGACATCAAAGAGATTTGCCGGAAAGTGCCTTCGGTTGCAAGCCCGCTTTAAATAGTTGCTGATGCACTTCGTCGTATCTGATTAATTCATAAAACGGCATGAAATATTCACACCCACACGGCATCAGAGGGCAACGGAGCGGGTCGGCAGTCGACATGTTTCCCAAGACCTCGGGGTGTGAATAATGAGTTTGTGTTTTGGGCAAGGGCGTTAACCACACGCTGATGACGACACCGGATGTTGTTGGCTGGAACGATGGACCAAATTTAATACTGACTCGCTTGCACTCACCAGCATAGGAACAACGTTTATCGGGAGAATAGCATTTCAACAGAATGCGGCTTACTGATAAGAACCAGACGAATTCTATGTGTCTGGTAGAACATTTCAGTTTTTAGTTTCATTCAGTTTGTCGTCTGCAACGGTCCCCATTTAGTGTCGTGCTGCCTGAAAGTTTTCGGAAGAAATAATGTTTTGGTAAGGATCTGTAGAGACCAACCTTAGTTGCGAAACCGGAATCATCAATGGAAATATTTCCCTTTAGGTGGTTTACGATCTGCGTCATCGCGTGCCCATCGCTGGTATCATCCAAAAGCTTCAAATGCACCGTAATTAACGAGGCTGGTTTCTGCTTCGTGGAGAACGTCGTCATCAATGATCCCTCAAGCGAGCAGAGCCTTGAATTCCCGAAGCATCCCATCCTCCTCATCAAATCCGGTTCCATCCCGAACTTCTCCAAGGACATATACTCCATGCTCCCGGGTGTCAATCTTCTGCACATGTACAACAACACTGTCATCCGCAAATTCCTGATCGCTGTCAGCAACCTCACCGAAATCAATCTGCAACGCAACGGTCTCGTCGAGTTCGACGTCGAACCCGTAGAAAATCGTAACCTCAAAACCCTAACGATCGTTCACAATTCCATCAACACCATTCCGAAAACCATTCGCTACCTCGAAGGACTGGAGAAGCTCTTCCTCTACAACAACTCCATCGACTACGTCGATCTGGAGCTGTTCGCCAATGCTAGCTCCCTCAAGGTCCTGTCACTCTATGACAACTTCATCAAAACCCTTGATTCGAAGCTCGATCTTCGTTTCGCAAACCTCCAGACCTTATCCCTGAGCAAGAACAAACTGGACTTCATTCCGTACTTTGTGGAAGCGTTCCCAGTGTTGAATGCCATTTCCCTACGCAAGAATCCTTGGAACTGTCGCTGGTTGGAGTACGCCATGGGCCACATCGAGACCCAGAGCATCCAGATCGCCCGGAAGGACGCCGTCTGCCGGCACCGTTGGATTGGCGATATCTGCTGCTACAGGACTGTTTTGGATTTTCTGTTTCAGGTTCAGAGCGAGGAGATGCATCACGACAGGGAGCAGCTGCTGAAGCTGGCGCAGCAGAACCGAGAACTGCAGAACGCCGTGGAGCTGTTGAATGCAAGTGTGCACAAGTTGGAAGAACAGGAATCGAATAAAGCTCGCGCCGAGGCATAGGCGTTTGTGGGTGGATTGAGTAAAAGGTTGTTTGTGTTGTTGTGTGGTTATTATTTTGATCGAAATGACCGGTATGGGATGGGCGTATGTTTGAGCGAGAGGAATTTTCCATCGCTGATAAATTGTTGGTGTCTTATTTTTCATTTCCTGGTTCGACGTCCTGTAGACATGATATTATACAATGATTATACAAAAATATGCGTTCTGTAAAAACATGCTTGTACGCTGAAGTCCCTTGCAGAAACTGTCATTACATTTGTTGTATGAAACATATTCAGAGGATGTAATAAATCCAACCTTAACATTGGATGTAAGAGAAATTTGTTTTGCGTGTACGTACGCTTGTGTAGTGACTGATGAAAACAACAAAGAAAACGGTTGAGGTGTTGGAACAAAATGTGGTGGAGAGGGAAGTGACATCCTCGGATCCCGAGAAGAACAGTGAAGAGGAAGCGATGTCCAGAAACAGCAGCCGATTGTTTGCAAGCATAAGAATGCAGCATATTAATTCTACAAATTCCAGATAGTAGACTATACCGAGAAGGAGCGGATAAAGGACAAAGAGGAGGCCAAGCGATGGGCGCTGAGGAACATGCCTTCTTTCAGTTCGGTACACATGTAGCGAATATACAATCTGTAAATATTGTGTTGGTTTTGGAATTTTTTTCAAATTTACAACGTTTTTCCTTCTTTTCATTGTATATTTAGAACTGAATTGGAAATTGTCTCTACTTTTCAGGGCATATGATAATGTTCTTCTTATCATGCAATGGTACAGTCTGAAAATGCTCAAGAAACAAGAATACTTATTTATGAAACGTCATAAACCAGCAAAACTTCCAAAAGAATGTTTTTCCATACCCAGCACTCAACATCGCCACATGATTGGCGTGTAGATATATAGCAACATCCCCAACTCAAAGAGGCAATAAATGTGCAACAAGATAGAATGATGCTCGACGACTCTCACAGGAAAGAATGCCAAACGACATTCGGTGTGTAGTCGGTACCGAAACCGTTGGAAGTTCCATCCAATAAATGTTCTTTATGCCTGTTTCGCTAAGCTTTTCCCGTGCATAGGGGAAGATATTGTAAATGAAATACTAAACGGAAGTGCTTCTCCGGACGACGACGGCGGCTGTGGCAGCTGGTGTGCTTTCTTCCGGTCGGGAAAGCGAACTGAAACTTGGAATATTGAAAAATGGATGCACCGTCGTCGCCGACCGAGGAGGAAACTACCAAGTCGAGGGCTGGAGCGAAGTGAATGAAATAAATAATACATGTGCAAATTTACATTATATCGGAAGAGAAAAGCAGTGCACTGGGAGTGGGTTGGGTGGGTTGGGAAAACGCTTTGAACTAGCAGCTGGGGATCATCCCGCTCGGTCGGCACCGTTGCAAGACGACACTCACCCACCCAACCGTGCGCATGGCCAGCGAGCAATCCATACGTCTTGTTGCATTTGTGGAGATTTGTGTCATTCTTATGGGTGGATGCATTCTTTTTGGGTTTGGCGTAGAAAAAGAAAAAAAAATGTAACCCCAGGCAACAGCCAGGTTGCCCTGGAGATCTCCGAGGCAATCTCGGATTTATTATTCATCCGCCCCGGGATATTTACGACAGAAAGGAACGGATGAACAAACGAACAGACGGTTGCAAAGCTACCGAGGAACGAAGGCCTTGCTTAGTCTTGCCGTAGGAATTGATCGTAAATTCTGCCTGAGAATGGGCTGATTAAAGTTTTATCGAATTTTGTCCAATATGTATGACGAAAGACGACGGCAGATGCAAGATAATAACTCGTAAATTATTTCCCGCTTCTAGGTTGAAATAAGACGAGGGTTTTCAGTTGGGGCTCAACCAGTGCAAAAGGATAAGACAATGGGGCAATGGAAACGCATGGTGCTGTATTGTATTTTCAGTAGAATGCAAGGAGTGGATAAATTACTAATTTAGTATAGCTCTTCCAACATTAAAACAAAAAAATCAGTTTTTAGCAACTGCGTACTAAGCGATCAGCATACAACAGAAGTGGTGGGTACGCTAATAATTCTGGCTTACCATTACAAAATGACATGCATAAAAAGAGGATACACTACAATATATCAAAGTAATGGTAGTGGTGGCATCATGTCCCCAACATTGGGAAAAAGAAAAAAAATGATCATCCAAGGTAAAGTTTAGGCAGAATTTATATTATAAAGTTTGCCATCTTATAATATGGTTTTAATCTCATATGGTGAGCTTGGGAAATATATATTTGAGAAGAGTGATCCATAAAAAGCACTAAAATTCCTTAGCGACTTTAACGATATGACCATAAGAATTTAAGTCACTGGATTGGACCTTGTCTGAAGGACTTTGATGTGGTGTGAGCACACGATTCTTGAGCACCTCTTCATTTAATCCATCATAATTCGCATACAAAACCAGATGAATCAATCGAACATCCTCTAGAGCGAGTACAAAAAATATGAATAACTTTTAGTGATCCATAGAACTATAAAACTGTGGATGTCAAAGAGATGCTTCGAATAAGTCAACATGCAATGATAAGTCAAAGATGGGTCCATAACTGTCAAACTAAGCTTGGAAGAAATCGGATGATGTTAATCTGAATGACTTATAGAATAAGTACAGACAACTTCTAGGTTGTGCACGTTCACACACTATGTAAGAAATACCAAGAGCCTAGAAAAAAGAAAATACAATTGGATTTAGCCCAAAGCTCTGTGACTATCACACGCTGGATATGCTGAGACGCTAGACGTTGTTAGTTGTTGCAAAATTTATCCTCTCAATAGGTATGTGCGTCTCTTAATATATGTGACACCTAATTGCACCTTCGAGTAGATTGGTGCGTCTGCTCGATCCAGCTGTGTTCAACAAAAATCAATTGCACTGGATCAATTGCCTTTTTATAGAGCATTTCTCTCAAATCGTTAAAAAATGTCATTTTTGTCTCGACCCCTTCTGATTTGAATGAAACATTGCTCACGTGTTTGCTGCTACTAATGGTTGCATTTTTCATTTAAATATGATTTTTTCCTCCAGAGTAACTTTTGAAAAGAGCGTATAAAAAATTGATTTTTTTTTTTTCAAAAAACCATAACATGAAAACTATTGATCTGATCAAAATGGCATATGAGAAGAAGTTTTAGGTAATTAAATTATCTTTGCGAAAAAAATACACTGAAAGAAAAAACTTCGTAAATTAGTATTTAAAAAACGTAAAATGATGATTATCTTAAAACACCCCCCCTTCGATCTTTATATTTTTTTTAAAGAAAATTGATGGAATACTCTAAAATTCGTGAAAAGTGTATGCTGGTAACTTTCTTAAAAAGAAATCTATAATTTTTTAAATTTTTGTTGATTTTTACAAGTTGATGAAAATGCATATTTTTAGTAAATAGTAATTTAATTGGATTCTACGCATAATTTTCGATAATTTTGCATATAGAAACTTTTTTCCTAAGTCCAGCCGTTCTTAAGTTAATGCGAATTAAAAAATATATAATTATAACAATTTTCAACATTTTAGGCCATTTTCAAATGTTCGTCGAGATGTCCAGCAACGAGATTTTTTTTCATGATTGTATATTAAAAAACAAAAAATTCATTCTCAGATATGGTAGCTGTCAGACTTACCCGTTTCTATCTAGAGGCAACGGAAGAGAAGCACGTTGATGTGGTCAAATGAAAGATTTGTTGAGATAAGAAACAATATATATTTATTATTTTATTTTACAACTCATATTATTTGAATACATTGAATAATTTGGGTGTATCGTTTGAATTAGAGAATATTTTTACTGCAATTTGGTTGTTTGAAACTGGAATATAGCAATGATATTTTCGAGTTCCAGGAATTGGTTTCACTTTCTTAAAAATTGGATCAAATTCCGTGTCAGCCTTTTTGTATTCTTCCGTAGAAACATAACAAAATGACATTTTTGTTTGAAGATCTTCTTTACGACTATTTGCCCAGTCATACAGTTTTTTAGGGTTTAGGGTACAGTGACCGGCATAAAAAAAGATCCACCGATGTCGAATGTAAAACTCATTTATTTTTCAAAAAGTCAATTAATATGATTTATGTCTCAGATAACTAAATAACAAAAGTTTATTTTGACTCAACGATATTGGTAATTTTTATTCCAAAACTTAAAATAAACAACAAATTCAATTCGCATGACTTTTTGATGCATGACATAAAAAAAGATCCATTTTATGTTTCATGTGTTATAATCATACAAAATCGATTATGATCAGCTGGTCAGTAGTTAATATGACCTCCCTTCGCTTCGATAATGGACTGCAGTCGTTTCGGCATGCTTTCGACCAGGTTTCTGAGGTGCTGTGGATCCAGTTCATTCCAGGCCTTCTCCAGGGCAGCAAAATATGTCTGCTTGTTGGTTACGCCGGTCTTTTCCACTCTGTTATCGAGAATTGCCCAGAGATTCTCGATTGGGTTCAAGTCAGGGCTCTGGGGTGGCCATTCCAAGGGTTTGATGCGACAGGCTCGAAAGAATGCGAGCGTTTTCTTTGCCGTGTGCTTGGGATCGTTATCCTGCTGGAAGATGTAGTTGTCTTCCAATTCCATTTTTAGCAAAGACTCTTCCAAATTTTCGTTAAGAATGTCAATATAGCCTTCCGCTGTCATGATCCCATTGATCAGGACCAGATTTCCCACACCAAACCATGAGAAACAACCCCAGACCATAATATTTCCTCCACCGTGCTTCATGGTTGCTTGAAGATGTTTGTCCTGGAGCCCTTCATCGCTTTTCCGCCATACTCGTAAACGTCGTTTTTTGTTAAAAAGCTCAAACTTCGATTCATCTGACCAGATAACACGTTTCCAGAATTCCAGGGGCTTATTGATGTGGGTTCTTGCAAACCTCAGACGCTTTTCCTTATTGACCTTGCTGATGAACGGCCCCTTCCGAGCAAAATAACTCTGTAAGCCGTGCTCAGCAATGCGGCGTCGAATTGTTCGTTCGGATATTGTTAGGTTCAAC